ACATGTAATATATATCAGTGCCTCATTCAGACAACTTTCACACATGTAATATATATGAATATCTCTCATTCAGACAACTTTCACAAATGTAATATATATGAGTGTCTCTCATTCAGACAACTTTCACACATGTAATATATATGAGTGTCTCTTATTCAGACAACTTTCACACGTGTAATATATATGAGTGCCTCATTCAGACAACTTTCACACATGTAATATATATGAGTGTCTCATTCAGACAACTTTCACAAATGTAATATATATGAGGGTCTCTCATTCAGACAACATTTCACACATGTAATATATATGAATATCTCTCATTCAGACAACTTTCACAAATGTAATATATATGAGAGTCTCTCATTCAGACAACTTTCACACATGTAATATATATATATGAGTGTCTCTCATTTAGACAACTTTCATACATGTAATATATATGAGTGCCTCATTCAGACAACTTTCACACATGTAATATATATGAGTGTCTCATTCAGACAACTTTCACACATGTAATATATATGAGGGTCTCTCATTCAGACAACATTTCACACATGTAATATATATGAATATCTCTCATTCAGACAACTTTCACACATGTAATATATATGAGGGTCTCTCATTCAGACAACATTTCACACATGTAATATATATGAATATCTCTCATTCAGACAACTTTCACACATGTAATATATATGAGAGTCTCTCATTCAGACAACTTTCACACCTGTAATATATATGAGTGTCTCTCATTCAGACAACTTTCACACATGTAATATATATCAGTGTCTCATTCAGACAACTTTCATACATGTAATATATATCAGTGCCTCATTCAGACAACTTTCACACATGTAATATATATGAGTGTCCCATTCAGACAACATTTCACACATGTAATATATATGAGTGTCTCTCATTCAGACAACTTTCACACATGTAATATATATGAGTGTCTCTCATTCAGACAACTTTCACACATGTAATATATATGATAGTCTATCATTCAGACAACTTTCACACATGTAATATATATGAGTGTCTCTCATTCAGACAACTTTCACACATGTAGTATATATGAGTGTCTCTCATTCAGACAACTTTCACACGTGAAATATATATGAGTGTCTCTCATTCAGACAACTTTCACACATGTAATATATATGAGTCTCTCATTCAGACAACTTTCACACATGTAATATATATGAGTGTCTCATTCAGACAACCTTCACACATGTAATATATATGAGTGTCTCATTCAGACAACCTACTCATATGGGTGTCGTATTCAGAAAATATGCAAAAAGTGTAATACATATGTCTCATATATCTACACACACGTGTGAAGCCCATTTCTGGTGTCCCCCGCCGTGATATTGCTGGAATATTGCTAAAAGCGGCGTAAATCACACTCAGTCTACACACGACGTACACACAAGTGTCTCATTCAGGCAGTCTACATGAGCACAAAATACAAGCATGTTCATTTAGACAATCTACACATGTGTAATAAAACGGAGTGTCTCAATCAGACAATCTACACATATGTAATACAAATATGTGTCTCATTTAGACAAACTAAACAGATGTAATATAAACATGTGTCCCATTAAGACAAACTAAACACGTGCAATACACGAGAGTCCCATTAAGACAATCTAAACACGTGTAATATACACATGTGTCTCATTAAGACAAACTAAACACGTGTAATATAAACATGTGTCTCATTAAGACAAACTTAACACGTGTAATAAACACGAGAGTCCCATTAAGACAAACTAAACACGTGTAATATACACATGTGTCCCATTAAGACAATGTACACACATGTAATATACACGGGAGTCTCATTGAGACAATCTTCACACATGTGATACATAGGGGAGTCTCATTAAGACAATCTTCACACATGTAATATACACGGGAGTCTCATTAAGACAATCTACACACATGTAATATACACGGGAGTCTCATTAAGACAGCCTACACACATGTAATATATACGGGAGTCTCATTAAGACAGCCTACACACGTGTAATTAAGGCGACGTGTACATGACGTCTTTGTCAGACAACATTTTCATTCATAAAACCAACATAACCATGATATACGAGTTGCTGCCTACACAATCCACAATAGTATATTTCATTTCTCATTGCTTAAATAACGAAATACACAAATAGAAGTTGAAATATTTGAAATTCACTCAACCTGTATGAATGTAATATACAAGAGGAAACATTTCCCAACCAGACTGTCAACATGCATATAATATATATATAACAGGATCCGATATTCAAGGAAGTATTACAAGAGGATCCATTTCCTATCAAGACTGTTGCCTGACGTGTGGAACAGGTGAGAGACAAGATGACTGTTCGTGACGTGTGGAACAGAAGGGAGATAAGATGACTGTTCCCTTGCGTTTGGGGCAGATGGGAGACAAGATGACTGTTCCCTGACGTGTGAAACAGATGGGAGACAAGGTGACTGTTCCCTGACGTCTGGAACAGAAGGGAGACAAGATGAATGTTCCTTGACGTGTGGAACAGAGGGGAGACAAGGTGCCTGTTCCCTGACGTGTGGAACAGAGGAGAGAAAAGGTGACTGTTCCCTGACGTGTGGAACAGGTGGGAGAAAATGTGCCTGTTCCCTGACGTGTGGAACAGATGGGAGAAAAGGTACCTGTTCCCTGACGTGTGGAACAGAAGGGAGATAAGATGACTGTCCCCGACGTGTGGAACAGAAGAGAGACAAGATGACTGTTCCCTGACGCGTGGAACAGAAGGGAGACAAGATGACTGTTCCCTGACGTGTGGAACAGAAGGGAGACAAGATGACTGTTCCCTGACGTGTGGAACAGAAGGGAGACAAGATGACTGTTCCCTGACATGTGGAACAGAAGGGAGACAAGATGACTGTTCCCTGACATGTGGAACAGAAGGGAGACAAGATGACTGTTCCCTGACGTGTGCAGCAGAAGGGAGACAAGATGACTGTTCGTGACGTGTGCAACAGAAGGGAGACAAGATGACTGTTCGTGACGTGTGCAACAGAAGGGAGACAAGATGACTGTTCCCTGACGTGTGGAACAGAAGGGAGACAAGATGACTGTTCCCTGACGTGTGCAACAGAAGGGAGACAAGATGACTGTTCGTGACTTGAGGCACAGGTGCGACACTGTGACTGTGTAGTAAAATACGTTGTACACATGGGAGATAAACTGACTGTACACTAACATGTCTTAAACAGGTGCGACAAATCTGACCATACCCATTACTGTAATGACTGGGGAAACGTGTTGTATGAAAACATATGCTGTCCACCAAAACAATTATTACATCAGTGACGTTCACGTAATTACTTTATATGAGACTAATATGCATATGGCGTGAGGCCGGCACTTCCACCACTGACAGTCTACACAATCAAATATTCATAATGTCCTTAATGCATTGTGCAAGTCTGAGTGTGTATCAATTAGGTTCCATGTTGCACAGTATGGATGCAGCCGAGATAAGACCGACACCCAACACCAGTGTATTCACAACGCCTAGTCTCCTCTCACGGCGACCTCCGACAGGCAACCTGGTGCATCAGCGAATCACCGCTCAACTCCATTTCCTCACTCCATATTCATTCAGTATTTGGAACCATTTGGTGATATTATACTACTGTTTATCTAATTGGTATGCGCTGTTTGCCCAAAGCAAATTTCTGGTAATTAAATTATGTCACTGTCCAAGTTCGATATTTTGGGATCTCATAACTGCTGCATGAAATTGAGTGCTATCATTTACTTTAGGTAATGCAAGTTTTCAAGGCTTTTTCCGTCATGGGCCGAAATTGACGAGCGAAACAGCTGACTTAATGATTGTCCTCGTCTGTAGTGGGAGCCAGTACTTATTTCATGGTAATCTCCTTGATCAATGCCCCTATTTGCCAGGCAATGAATATTGCCGACATTATGATTGGGTTCTTGATAGTCTTGGCGCCTATTGGGCCCAACAAAAGCGGCGTGCTCCTCCACCAGAAAGCTGTGATGTCCGCATAGAAAATTTCAGATTCAACTCTACTGAATCTAAAATCATAAATATGTCTTTTATGTTGAACGGTATCAAGCTCCATCAAGACGTAATCTTGCATAGTTCCCTGAAATCTCACAGTTCGTATCAGCCTCAGAGGCAGAAATATGTAACCTTCTACATCTAAGTGTTACGGAGAATGATTCTGCACTTAAGAATTCGAGTCGTCTTATTTTAATGGGCTTGCCTTGATAAACACTTGTATTATGCGGGGTGATATCATACGATGAATTTTGGCGACCTTTGGTTGTTCTCAGTGCAACGCGCACTAATTCTGCAATTCCATCTTATGATTTATCGCGTGACGTAATACTAATATCGGCGAACATTTGCATTTGACGATGCACGGTTCCGCGATACAGCTATCAGCGCCTGCTGGAGTTATACTTAGCATAATAGATAGTAGTGGCCGTGATCCACCTATGCATTTGAATCCAGTTGATGGAACAACCGCCGAATTGTATCGGCAACAGGGATTAGTCAATATTTGCACATTTATGGTAAACATTCTATCAAATATGCACTGGCCTGATTATGAAGACAGTGTTTGCAGCTCTCATCTCATTACATTATTATTTGAATGCATATTAAAAGCCTAGTACCGCGTGTATCGCGGACACTATGGCGAGGGATGGCAGAGCGGAGATGTCAACACAATGTGGTGCTGTCATCTCGCCGAACGTTCAACAATGCGACACAAACAATCAATCAGAAGATATTATAAATGTTAAGAGAAACATAAACACGACGTCTGTCGTGTATGTGTGCAAAATAAACTTGTATTCATTCAATGGCCACAACATTCATATGCCAGGCTCCACCCTCGTAATGTTTACAAACGTCAAAATCAATGAATTTGACGTGATTAACACATGACACCATACTGTAGGAATCGTAGAGGGAACTCACCATGACAAGCCTATCCAAATTGTCCCATGAATCAGGCCTCTGGTGTTGCAGCAAGCCCGCTACCATCACACATGGTCTGTTGCCTAGGCATGGTACCAATAACTAGGCTAGAAAGAGGCGAAGCGCCAGATCGGCGGACTCGTCTGTAGCGATCGATACAGAATTGTGCATGATTTATAGTCATATATAGATGACAACAACGCATCAGCTGTTGAGGATAACGAACACTGCCTATATAAATGCTTGTTTCCAGTAGACACAGTCGTTGTTATATTCTCTCAGTGATTGCGCTTCACTCTTCTTTGCCTGAAACTGTCGTCTGCTGCTTAGTGTCAACTGCAGAGGGTGCAGACACACATTGAGTGTCTGGGCGCTCTTCCTCCGCTCTCCACGAACAAGAGTATTTTTCGAAGCGATGGCACATCAGCAAACCGAACGGTCCATTCTCTGTCCTCGATGTGAAGGGACTTCATAGCATCATGTTCATTTCAGAATCGATCTGATCACTGTTGGAATGGTTGTGGCGCGGTGGTAATAACTAGATAAACTGGCACACCATTTCTGTGACCAAGCTCAACCCCTTGCCTCGCCAGGACTTCCGTACCTGTTGTCAACGCATAGGCTCTCTGCCTACAAGTGCTCTGTCGATTAATCAATTATCGAGAGCGTAGTATTGCCTTCCGATGTATTAATTCCACATGTAAGCGGAACCGTGAGGTTATGGAAAGACTTTTTCCCTATATCGACCGCGTTGTTGAGAGGGTTCTCCGAGCCGCTGTGTTTCACATATTTCTCTTTCGAAGAAATCGATGTCTGCTGTTATGAATAGGATCGTTTTCATCCATAGGTTCCATTGTGGAGTTTGCATGTCTTGGTTGTAACGATGCTCATATCAGCAATACATTCCTTCTTGGGGCTAGTAAGCGTTGTTCACATTCCGATGAATGAAAGATGCTGCATATCTCGAGGCAAGTACATGGACCTCCATGTCATACACCACCATAGTATACAGTGTCCTGATAACACAGTACGGGGCCCAGGTGGAAGTGACATAAGGACCCCGCCTATATAATCTACAGCTCCGTTGGCCAAAACATGATGAATCGACGTCAAAATGACTAAGTCACAAAACAATTCAGTTCCATTCGAATATAGGAGGAAAGATGAAGGACATTGTTCAGAGCAAACGGGCCGATTCAATTCAAGAAGTAATATTGCAACGGTGTGCGGACTGAAGGCGTTTCTTGAAAAGATCGGTACAGTTTGAGATTTGGTCATTTGCAATCAGTAATTGGTAAATTGAGTTGAAAATATGTCCACAAATCATTTTCAAACCCGAGCTGGACCAGCACTCAGTTACTTTCGAATCACGACTATGGTCATCCTCGATAATCTCCAGGGTACACGTTATCCTGGAGATCTTGGAGGATGGACTATGGGAAGCAACAAACAAACATGAAGACACTGCACTGTACGAGCGGCAGGGGAGAGAAACTGTTACCTGTCCAGACTACATAGGTATCCACATAAACATTTACAGACATCAGAAATTGACAAGACAAGCAAGGAAAATAGGCCTGTCTCTTTAAGGCTACTAGGGCTACGTAGATTAGTTACACCAAGTAGAAGACTATATACACATTTAAGAAGTGATAAGAGTTGAGTTGAGGCGACGTCAAGATGTAAGCTAGATTGCAAAATCGCACTGAAAACCTTGAGCTATGACCCTGGCTGAGAAAGAAATGTTAAAAGGGTGATATGGGACTCGAACCCACGACAATTAGATATCATTAGTTTAAGAGACGCGAGCTACTCAGTAGATTTAAGGCGCCTCCCATTGTACACCCCTACGACCGACACAGTATAGAACATTAGCCTATCATCAGGACTTCGGAAACAAAGGTTTTCAAAGAGATAGGAAATGAGGAGCTGGACTAGATTTGATTTTACGCCGCTTTTAACACTTCCTTAAACATACCATCGTTTGTTGATTCACGTTCTGAGCGATGGTGGAGATGGTTGCTAATTCTTTTTCAATATCATCCCCTTCGAGGTCCACACATTTAACCCGTGAAGATCTGGGTTAGAACTGATCTTCAGTAATCCATGATTGTCGTAAGAGGCGACTAACGGGATCGGGTGGTCAGGCTCGCTGCCTTGGTTGACACATGTCATCGGTTCCCAATTGCGTAGATCGATGCTCATGCTGTTGGTCACTGGATTGTCTGGTCCAGCCTCGATTATTTACAGACCGCTGCCATATAGCTGGAATATTGCAGATACGGCTTCAAACTAAACTCACTCGCTCACTCAGTCCATACATTTATGCAAGCAATGCTGTCCTTCCTTGACCTACAGGTATAGCAGGCCTTTTATTGGTGGTGCACAAAGTCGCCCGCAGCAGAACTGACGTTATCACTTGTATAATGCTTGCCAGACATCTCTTTTATAACGGTTGCAAAGAGGTCATAACTTCACGATACCAAATTTGGTAAATGCTGAAGACGTCCAATGCATTCAAAACCAGTCAGTTATGGCAACTATGGCAACAACCGAATTTTGCATTGTCAAGTGGAACTATATACCTTTGGCGAGTTTTTCACACTAATGCCTAACAGATTAGTATACTATACTCTTAAAAAGTAAGAAACTTCATTTTCAACTGAAAAATTGTGAGATATATCGGAGTCAATCAATGTTGATATAATAATAATGAATGCTTTGAGAGTGCCTCACCACTTGCACTTCCTTATGACCATAGTTGTATGCACAGTAATCGCTCTTGAAAGATGATTTGTGTATGGCGTGAAATTTGCATGTTTACGATTTTCATTTTCAAAAGGAAAAAACGGCTAGAAACAAACACTAACAACTATGTGATGCAAGATGATTTTCAAAATTAATAGTCTACAGTGATTTTTCAACAACCTTCTTGAAAACCGTCAAAATCAAGAATGACACCCCATGCACGTATGTGGGGCTACTGCGTTGTGCACGTGCATTCCATGCGTTGTGTTTAGGGGTGGTGAGAAATAAGATGTGTCTTTGAAAAGTTTGTGAACGCGTATACTTCCTATCCGAATTGAAAGTTCAGGTTCCCTACTTTTAAAGAGTATATTTGGCATTAGTGATCTGACCTTTCAGAAGGTAGTCCACTATAAGGATTCCTTTGGAGAACGAAGCCATAACCTCGCCAACTGATCGAACAGATTTTACCTTCTTCGGGGTATTAGGAAGAGGAGAAGTTACACGTTTCTACTGTTTTGAATGTTTTATATTATCTGGTTGACAGTGGCAAAAGACTCATCCATGGTTACACATAGTTGAACATCAGTGGGCCTGATAGGTCTGAGCGGTACTGATCAGGAGTCAGAAGCCTTTGGAACCAAACGTGCTGAAACCTTTCCATGCCATGTTAATGCATCGACTGTTTTCAACTTTCTCGTGATGTCGATGGTGTTGGCTTTATGACATATGGTGTTTCGTCCATCATCTATAATCATATCATATATTTTATCAACAATTTCATCGGTGGTGGCAGCTGAAGGTCTTTCTGATTTGGAATCATCTTCAATGCCCTGTCTTCCTCTCAAGAACTCCGCTGAGCAGTGGCAGACCAATCAGCAGCATCCCTCCTATAGGTGGCACCATGTCCGCTTGGGTCGTGTTCGAGTTTGAGCTGGTGATACTTGTTGGCAATACAATTGCCAGATTTGTTCATTTCATCAACAGTGAAAACCTGGTCACTTTAATGCCTGCAGGAATATGATGATGGTTGTTTCTATTTGCTTGAAATGCAATCCGTTATATTAGGTATTTACGTCGGTCTAACTGTTGAGGATGGACACTTCATCGTTGTCAATTGTGGTCAACTTTTTAGCTGCCCTCATTCCAAAATTCCTGAACGAGCAAGGATGTGGAGCTGACAAGCCAATGATCACAATCGGGTGGAATCGCACCCACTAACCCAGCAACAGCCCTATTATTCTGCCACGGCTAAGGGACGAAACTCGTCACAGTGGCTCACCACCTGTCTCACTCCCAGTAGATAAAAGCGTTACTACAGCAGACAAGACGTCAAAAGGCTTTTAGAGAAAACAAGAGGGAAATAGAATTAAGATAGCACGACACTAAGGCAACGAATGATCCTGAGAAATAGCGTATGCCTAGTCAGCCACTATATATCAGACGTCGAATAAGGTCCCCAGTTGTTACTCAGGCAACGATGGGTCAAGACGGAGATTATTTTGATACATGGTACTAAGACAGATCTCAGATTAAATAGATTAACATGACGTAAGTTGTTCAAGACAAGTGATTATTTTTATATACATCCGAAATTACATAAGCATATGCTTTGATTTCAAGGTGATATGAAACTAAATAATTTGAACAGATATGTAAGCATCACGACTTGCGTCTTTGTTCTGCAATCATTTGATTCCCATCTGCACAATATGATTTCTCCCAATGCTGACAGATGTCCTGCTGGACTGAGGCAAGCCACGTTACGTTAGAATTGGTCTTCAGCAACCCTTGCTTGTCGTAAGAGGCGACTAACGGGTGGTCAGGCTCGCTGACTTGGTTGACACATGTAATTGTACCCCAACTGCGTAGATCGATGCTCATACTGCTGATCACTGGATTGTCTGGTCCAGACTCGATTATCTACAGACCACCACCATATGGCTGAAATATTGCTGAGTGCTGCGTAAAACAACAAACCAGCCAACCAACCAACGTAGATTAAAGTGACAATTTGGCCCAGTCCAGCCATCGTATATATATATGTTAGCAAGCCAGGTCACGCAGGGTAAAGTGACAATGTGACCCAGTCCAGCCAGGGTATGTTACTGGTAAGGCGGTCCCGAAACAATACAAACGTGTCCGCGCGCATTCTCCACATACCCTCTCTAAATGTGTATGTAACATATCCTCTCTGTAATGTGTATGTTCACACGCTGACTCTCCTAATACACTTGTCAAACCGACGGGTGAGCGATCACTAGCTTGTTTATTGGATAATCTAGTCGAACAAATCAATATTGAAGTTATACAAACATGTATTGGTGTTTGGTATCAATATGCATTGCTGCATGTTAAATGCCAGACCGACAAAAAGAACTAAATATGTGTTTTATGGAGTCGTATTTCTGCAGCTTTAGACTTGTTCCCAACAGAGGAAGATGTATCACATGCTGACAGCATCCAACAAATGTTCATCCCAATTCATATCAGATTGCGGGTTGACACCCAGAGCCTAGATTGGACGCGAGGCATCAACTCTCACCATCTAATGTAGCTGCATAACTTGGATCACGGCCATTTGGGACCACAACAGTATGACTATAACATGTTTGGCTTCTGAATATGATTTATCAGTTGTGGCTGTATTGTTGTTAATGTACTATTAATGGGAAAAGTAGTATGCATGTGAGTGTGAATGAGTTTGGGTTCAGCCCGCTGTTAACATTATGTAACATGACGTCACAGCTTGGTGTGGGAGGAAAGCCCGAAGTGATGCAGGTCTGAGGTTGATGCCACTTATTTGAAACACACCAGCAGGTTTATAATGCTAAAAAAAACGGAAACATGCTCAGGGAGAAGCAAGATCCCCCGATCCACGATTGTAGGTTCCTGGTACACCCAAGGGACATAACGCTGCACAGCTAATTGCGGTGCCTCAGTCCACCTTGAACCCGTGCTATCCACGTAGTTGTTGCACTCACAACGAATATGTGACTAGCCTGTACGTTCAAAGTGTCCACAGAAGACGGCCTATTGCACACAGTCACTGCACCATGCTGGATCTAACCTTAGTCATTTATGTTTTTTTATTATCATCTGTTTCAAGATATGTAGAGTGGACCTCAGAATCGGCAGATGTAACAAA